GGGGGGGAGGAGGGGGGGCAGTGAGGGCAGGGGGCTGGGCTGGGTGTCCCCAAGCTGTCAGCTGTGGGGACCGAATCAGATCCAAGCTGCTTGCAGAGACCCCCCCTTGTGCTGCAGGGCTGTAGGGCACCTGGGCTGACCTAAAGCTTTAGCTTCCAGAGTCCTTGCGCTACTGAAAGGTGGCTTTTCCCCTCCTTCTTCCCTACGGGATGACCTTTGGAGCAGACACACCCACAGAGCATGGGGCCGGACCCTGGGCTGGCTCCCAGGGCGCCTAGAAGCACCCTGTCCCACGCAGCCCGAACGGCTGCAATTTGCCCACTGGGGACATTCTGCTGCCACAATTTGCCACATCCTCTGCCCGACTCCCATGGGGAGGTGGTGAGTGGCACTGACCCGTGACACAGGAGACCTGGCACTTACCCCCCTGGGTGATGCACAGCCTTTTTCCGTGCCTCAGTTTCCCCCAGCATGGAAAGGTGCTTCTGGCAGTGGGATGGTGAGTCCTGGTTCTTCCCGTCCTGGTGTAAACAGCCCTGCTCTCCCCAGTGCCGGAGGAAGCAGCCGGAGCCGCCTGTGCATGGGGAGCATCCGGCCCTTCCTCGCGGGACCGAGGCCGTGTGTTTACTCGTTCTCCTTCCCCTCCGCTGCTGGACTGAGTCACGGCTGCTGCGTCATGCAGCCCATTTGGCTGGGAGTCTCTTAACAAAGCGGAGGAGTTCGTCTGGCTCCGGGCAAGTGGCTCTCGGCAGCCAGCTGCTCCTCGCCACCGGCCCAATGTCCCAAGGGGAGTGGCTTTTGGGGACATCCCCAGCGGGGTGCTGAGCTGTGGAGAAGGTGCATGAGATGCTGGGGCAGGAGTTGGGGACAGGGGTGCCCCGTGGAGGCACCCGGAGCAAGAGCAGGCACTGGAGGACTGCTGCATGCCAGTGACGTGCCCACAGTGGTGCGGCCCCTGGTGCCCATCTAGCCGGGCTGCTTTGTTTCTCCATGGAGGCAAAACCCCAAAGTCGAATTAGGGGGCTAATTATGGGGCAGTGTTCGTTACCTTCTGTTCTGTTAAGCCTGTGATGCAGAGCGATGCCAGAGGGGCGACGTCCACGCGAACCTTGTTCCCCATGGGCTCCCTGCTCCTGCTCCATGGACGAAACTGCTGCCCATGGGAGCTGGGGGTGCTGAGCAGCACCTTGTTTTCCATCCAGGACGGGCTGCTGGCAGCCAGACGCCCTCCCAGCAGCCAGAAAAACCTTTGGCCACCCAGAGTATAAATACACCCAGTCTGATGTGTGACCGGCTGCCAGGCCTCGCCGTTCCCAGCTCACCCTGTGGCCTCGGCGCTGCACCTCAGATCATGGAGGTCCAGGCTCAGAAATTCACCTCCAGAGTGGCTTCAGGGCGTGATGTCCCCGTGGCCTGGGATGGGTCCCTAAAGCTGCTCCCCGCTAAGCTGGCGAGCTGCCTGTGCCCCCATCGCTGTGGGGGAAGGAGAGGCCGGGGGGCTTTGGGAAGAGCTGGCCATAGGGCTGGCCCATGGCAGTGAGCACCCCCAATTCTCCCTACTCTCTGCTGTAACCTGGACAGAGATTTTAAGCAGCTCCAGGAGCTTACTGTCCCCCCCGAGTGCTTCAAAGAACCAGCCCTAACCCGACCTCAGCCACCGCCTTGTGCCACCGTGGAGGTTCCTGTATCCCATTGCCTGATACCCGCTGGGTTCAGCCTCGGGGGAGCCGGCTCCTCCGCCCTCCTTGGCCGAGACGGGTCTCACTAACACCATGGCTCAGCCCAGCCCTCCCTGGGAGAGAGCAGCTCACTCTGTTTTAATTGCTTATCTCTGAGTAATGAGCAGTGTTCCTGGGTGGGGTCAGCGTGGCAAGGATGGCACTGGCTGGTGCACTGGGGGGACCTGCTGTGCACCAGCCCGTTGAGATGCTAACAACCCCCCAAAGGACTTGGGGAAGGAAAACAGGGGCTTTCTCCTTAAAATAAGCCCAGCACGTGCTCCAGGGCAGTGGCAATAGAGGTGCTGCACCCACCTCTGCGGTTTGGGGAACATGAGTGGGCTGGGAACATTCCCTGCACAGCAGCAGTGGATGCAGTGATGTATTTAAGCAGAAGTCCCGGGCAAAGCCCAGCCTCCGTTCAGGAAGGCTAGCAGCTTTCTCAGCGTTGTATTATATGGCTTGGGAGGGCTTTTCCTCCACGTGTTTGCATTCAAAGATGCTTTGACCCAAACAAGCTGACACACCGTGAGCAATTTGGATGGGGGGGGATGGTGTCTGCCCCGCCGGGCTGGGCACTCGCTCACCCTCTGGCTTCCCCTCTTCCAGGGCAGACCTCGTTGTATTTATAATGGAAAAACCCCAGGCAAACACAGGAGCCTTTTAGCCGCCTGCCACGCCTCTGCTACAGGGCAAAATATCTCAAGGGCAGTATGAATTCCTTGAAGGTGACACTGTCGCCCGTCAGGGACGGCTTTCAGGGACGGTTTTCTCCTCCTACCAGGCAAGGGACGTGGCTGGGACGGGGCGATCGTGGCCACTGGTGGCTGCCCAGAGGCAGATGGGGAGAGGGGCAGGCAGGAGGGGCTGGGGGAGCTGCTTCGTCCTTGCGATGCCAGAAGAGCAGCCCGGGCTCCTTTGAGATCTGAGTGTTTCCCAGGGCTTGGTGCCAAGTCCGGAGGTCTTGGTGACTGCTCCTGGGGTGCCACCCCAACCGAAAGACTTCCTTGAGGTGTGTGTCACCTGCATTTCTTCTGCCTCCAGCTCCAGGGCTGCTGCGTGGCATGTTGCAGGGCAGCCAGGGGTGTTGGCAGGGCTGGTGGGGTGGATTTTGTAGCTGGCTGATTTTTTTTCCTGGCTGGGTTGGCGTGTCCTGCCCCTGCCTGCCCAAAGGGGACCATGCCTGGGTGCCTCCCGATGCCCCACAGCCGCCCATGGGCACGCACCCCTGGGTGCTCTGGGCAGAGGGGTCAGCATCCAGGTGCTGCCCCACTGTCCTGTCCAAGGGATGGTGGTTTTCCCCAGGCTGTGCCCTGACCTGACGTGCCCCTTCCTCCCGCAGGCCTCAGCGTGCCGGCCCAGTGCTATGCGATGCTCCGTGAAACGCTCCCTCACGGCTGCACTTGCAGCCTCCTTCCTCCTTCTCCTCCTCCTCCTCCATGGGGGCAGCCGGCAGGAACAGGATCCCCTGGAGGTGAGTCCCCCAGCAGCGATGTCCCGCTGGAGGGGCCACTGGAGCATCCTCCATCCCTGCCTGCCCCACAAGGACTACAACCCCGCTCTGCTCCCTTCCCTGCCCTGCCCGATATCACTCCTTAACCCCAGCTCTGCTTTCTCTCCCTGGGCTTGCCCTGTGCACCTGGGCCTCCCCTGATCCAGGAGCTGGGAGGGCAGGACAGGGGCTCCCCCTGATTTCTGGGTCCCCCTGTTGTCATTCCCCCTGGCTCACGCGTGTCCGTGGTGCTCTGGGGTCTGACCTGGCTGCCTGCGGCTCCCATCCAGGGGGGGCTTAGGGGCTTTGCCCCAGACCCAGTCCTGCAGCCGGAAGGAGCCCAGCGCATCCTCAGGGACATGGATGACCTCTCTGCACTCCACAATGTCTCCTACCACCTCCTCGCTGGCTCCCTGTCACCCCACAAAAGTGAGTGGCTCCAGGACCCCGGACTGAGCAGGGTTCTGCATTTGCACATCTCTTCCATCGCAGCTGCATGTCCCAGCATGGACCTGCCCCATCGCTGCTGCTGCTGGGGTGGGGAGGGGTCTGCTTCCAACGTTTTTGGGACAGGGGACCTGCCGATACCTGGTGACCTCCCCCCTCCCAGCCTTTGCTGCTCTGCCTGGGGAGGTGGAGGGGTAGAGGAAGGTTCACGTGCTCCAAGTGCGGTCTGCGCTTCTGCACCTTGGGACTGGGGTGACCACAGACATTTTGGGTTTTTTTTTTTGTTTCCCAGTTCTCTGTGGGGAGGGTGGCTGAGCTCCCCTTTCTCTGGGGTTGAGTTTCCTGCTCTCCAGTCAGGAAGGTGGAGATGGTGGGGCTGGACCACTGGGAGAACCGCATAGTGTGGGAGATGTGGGTCAAGCTCTTTGACAGGTGCACGAAAAACAATTCACGTGCAACTACCGTGGTTGCACTGTGGAGCTTAGGGCAGCCCCCCGCGAGCCCATGCTGAAACCAGAGGTCCAGTACGTGCACGGTGCTGCACAGACCAGCAGCAAGAGAAGCTGCAGCGAAGCTGAACAAATGCAGCCACAGCTGGGCTGTGGGGAGGGCAGAAGGATGCCTCGTCCCAGTGTGGTTGCATCTCTGCAAGGTTCAGAGTAGGGTAGGGGCATGCTTCCAGGATGTGTAGCCAAGCCACAAAGCCATCCCTGCCCCATAGACCGTCTCTGCACTGTTCCTTCCCCAGGTTTGGCTTTTTTTAAGGTGTTTTTCCCAAATATTTCTTCTTCAGAGGAGCCCCTGACTTCTCGTCTTGTCCTGTCCGGGGCATTTGGGCCAATTTTGGGCACCTCCTGAGACACTGGGGGCTTCAGCTTCAGAAAGGGCCTGCCGGCCTTGGACATGGGACTGTAAATAGCATTAACCGTGCGGGTTGGCCATGCAGAACTTTTTTGGAGCCCCCTCCTTGTGGCTTGCAGGGAAAAAACCTCACTGTGGTGCATCCCAGGTCACCCCTCAGCCTGCTAATGCCTTTCCTTTGCCTTGCAGAATTCTTGACGGTGGGATTGGCATCGGTGCGGCGGCCGCGTGGCTACTACCTCCCGGCCACACTCCAGTCCCTCTTCAAGCAGTCGACGGAGGAGGAGCTGCAGGAGATGGTGGTGGTGGTGCACCTGGCCGACGCGGACCCCATCTGGAATGTGCGCGTGGCCACCAACATCGCCCGTAAGTTTGCTCACCACATCCTCCTGGGCCGGCTCCTGCTTATCCACGCTCCCCATGAGTTTTACCCCACCCTGGAGGGCCTCAAAAGAAACTACAACGACCCGGAGGAGCGGGTGAGGTTCAGGTCCAAGCAGAATGTGGACTATGCCTTCCTCCTCGCCTTCGCTGCCAACCTCTCCTCCTACTACTTGATGATTGAGGATGATGTGTGGTGCGCCAAGTCCTTCTTGACGGCCATCCGCAAGGCACTGGCTTCCCGTGAGGGCTCCTACTGGGCCACCCTTGAGTTCTCCAAGCTGGGCTACATCGGTAAGCTCTACCGCTCCAGTGACCTTCCTCGCCTGGCTCGCTTCCTCCTCCTCTTCTACCAGGAGATGCCCTGCGACTGGCTGCTGGTCCACTTCCGCCTCCTGCTCACCCAGAAGGATGTCATCCGCTTCAAGCCCTCCCTCTTCCAGCACATGGGCCTCTACTCCTCCTTCCAGGGCACCGTCAACCGTCTGGAGGACGATGAGTTCCAGGCCGATGCCTTGGACCTTCCGGACAACCCACCAGCGGCCTTGTTCACCAGCATGTCCGTCTTTGAGAACTATGAGCCCCTCAAGGCTTACAGCACAGCAGAGGGGTATTTTTGGGGGAAAGACCCAGCAGCCGGCAGCGTCTTCTCCATCGTCTTCCAGCAGCCGGCC